TGTTGTGTCTGGACGTTTTATGATGAATATCTTCAGATGAGATGATGACGCTGCGGGTCGAGCGTGTGCGCGCACGTGCAGATGGGCCCGGGCCGATCACAGAACGAGGGAATGCATTCATTAATTCGATGTTGCCACTTGCCACAATACATATTTGTATGCGTGTGCAGTAATTTCTAATTTCTCTGTAATTTCTTGCATGTGTTATTTTTTTGCACCCTGCGGTTGCCGTAGAAGTAGCCTACGCCGATGTTGTTTTTTTAATGACGTGCAAACGCTGCATCGTAGCGCCAAATTTAAAAAAGAGTGTTCATTTTCGCTTATATTTTAAAACTGAAGCTAATATTTTTTTTATTATTATTATTTTTCTTTGAGAATCCATGAAGCCCTGAATTAAACACAAAATATATTGTGGATGCCGAAAGCCTGGATCCAACTAAAATTAACTTAGTGAGTGTTAATTTGTGCATTTACATAACATTTTAAAATGTAAATATTACGTTATGCTTCAAATGACAAATTTATATTAATGTTAATTTTATCCTTACATTTATTCCCTCTCTCTCTCTCTCTCTCTCTCTCTCTCTCTCTCTCTCTCTCTCTACTGTGATCCACAGACAAACAAGAGTGAGACGATCAGACAGACGCGAGTAATCGAAGAGACATTCAGCCTGCAATTATGTGTGTGTGCATCACCCTAATAAAGCTCAGTGAACGTGTGCATGCAGCATGACATCACTGTCTGCTGTCTTTCTCACACACACACACACACACTCTCACACAGACACACACAATCTCACAGACACAAACACACAAACACTTTTTGTTCTACTGTAGAGGAATCGTATATCATCACATTGACTCTTGAATCATTTGATTTGTTCAAACGGACTGATTCATTAAGGAAAGATCCAGTGAGCGATTCTTTTATGAATCATTCGCTCAGCCAATTTTCGATGGCAATACAGAGGCGGACACATGTAACTCGTTTAATATTAACTTCTTGTTTTTGTATAAAATCAGTGTCACACTTGCAATCCTGCTGATATTCGCAAAAACGGCTCTCGCTTTCCTGGTCTAATGTTGTTTATCTTCGCAATGAAGTTTATAGAATATATATTATCAAACAAGAAACTTCATGTCTGAGTGATCGCCTGTCCAAAAAAAGTGTGTTTCAGCGGAGATTAATATAAAAGCATCTTTAGTTGAGGAATCAACAACCCATCAAAAGATTGCAAAAATAAAACTGTGTCCAAATAAATAAAAATGCAGCATAAATAGCTGTCAATCACAGCGATGACCTCAGCCATTCACAAACCAAAACACACTAAAGTAATTACAAAAATAAGGAAACATTTCCTGCCACATGTGGAAGTTTTGTAATAATCAGGCCTTTGTGTGTGTGTGTGTGTGTGTGTGAGTGTGAGACATTTGTATACACACTGGTATTACAACGCGAGTGTGATTTATGAGGACATTTCCTGAGTCCTAATATGATATATGAGTTTTAAATATGAGTCCCTGTATTTAAAATGGCTTTTAACAGTGTTATAAAAATGCATAGTGTTCTGTGACGGGTAGGTTTAGGGGTTGTGTGTGTGTGTGTGTGTGTGTGTTTGAACAGGAAACCTTCACTATATTTCATCTGCAAGAGTGACAGACGAAGAGTGTGTCAGATTCAGATATCAGCCGAGTCTCTCACCGCACACGGGCCGTTGAACGAATCCTCACGGGCGCTCGGTTATCTGATAACACACACACACACACACACTGAGCTAACTGAAAACACAGATATCACACACTGCTTTATGAGGCTCTTCATAATGATGACCTTCACAAACCCTGGAGCTTTCATACATTCATTCAGTAATTGTTTGACGTGTTATTTTCTGTGTGTGTGTGTTTGTTTTGCTTGTGTTCAGGCAGAGGAACACGGTGGGTTTGTTTAGTCTCATAAACCTTAAAACGACCTAAACAGAAAGAAAAACAAGAGATGTTCAGATACTACAACAATCAGACAGACAGATAAGCAGGCGAGTGTGTGTCTCTGCTCACATGACTTTCATGTTTTCAGGTTTCTTGTGTTGAGGTTTTATACAGACACACACGCAGAAGCGTTGCTTTGGTTTAGACACACAGATTCACAGACGAATGAAACTCTTCTGAGCTAAAGGTCAAAGCGAACAGCGAAGTTAGCGGAGCGTCTGACCAGTTTTCTCAAAGCTATGAACACTTCTTCCAGTGACTTTAATGAACATTCATTCAGTTATCACAAAACCTTATTTATACATCGCTTATGAAACGGTTTGCTTGGAAGTTTTCTAAACGTTGCTATTTGTTTCGGAGCATTTAGAGAACATAGAAAAGTAACATGTTAAATGATGAAAACAGAATAACTTTAAAAAATAAATGCATTCAAAAATAACATTTTCATAACATAATGTGAACATTAGCAAAACCTTCTTGGAACATATTTTTGTTAGCTGTGAACAGAAAACGAACAACCAATCACACGGACAGAACAGCTATACGTCACACACACACACACACACACTAACACACGATCCATGAAATGAGCTGTTAATAGTACGGAGAAAGAGATAAAGGGAACCAGAAACAACGTGAGTTTCATCAAATGTGTTTGGCATGAGAATATCACACACCGAACCCATCACAAACCAACGTCCCACTCACACACAGCATTCAAGGGTGTGTTAAGAGCAAACAGAAATGTTTAATGTTGTCTGAATAAGTAAACTCACGTGATTCTGAAGAAACACAGGAAATGACGTTTACCACGACTGACACCACAGCAGAGCCGATGCATTTACAAGTGTTTTCTAGAAGGTCCTTTCTTTAAAATCTGAATGTTTAAGTTGCACTTATGTGACCTCAAAGGTCAAACTGGCTGCCCCCACGGCATCTAACCGTTGGTGATGCACATGACCTTTAGTCATTCAATATCATCTTTTAAATAGGAAAAAATGTGTGTTTTGACGGTAATAATCCAACTTGGGGTTCCACAAGGCTCCGTCTTGGGACCAATTTTATTTTCCCTTTATATAATGTTTTACCTGGAGCAGGTTAATATGTAGATATTCAGATTTATGCAGATGATTTAGTATTTTTAACCCATGCAAATCATTTTAAAGAAGCTTCGATTACTTTGACTTCTACTATGATGTTCTAAATGTTTAGGATTGGCTTATTTAATCAGATTTATTATTGAATACTAAATAAAAAAAACTGTGTATGATGTTTGCAAAACAATTAGTAGAGATGAAACAGTCAAATGTATTCCTGAGAGGGAGGAGATTGGAAATGTTGAAGAGTTTACATTTCTTGGGGTTACCTTGGATTATAGTTTAACGTTTAAAAGTCATGTAAAATGTTGTGTTTACATTCAATTATTTTTTCACGTTTTTACAATTGTTTTAATAGTTGGTTGTTCATAGGTGGCGCAACCTTTAGGTTAATAGAAGACGATAAAAGTGTTCATGTTACACAACTAATGTTAAAAACGTAACATATGCTTGTTTTATTTATAAGGTCTGACATGGACTGGCACCACCTCCGGTAAATGAGTTCGCTAAACCGAGGTTGGTTTACATATTAAAGGCCCATCATTGTGAGGTTACATATAGGCCAACATCTTTTGAACAAAAAGTATTGTCTGTAATAGGAAGTAAATATTAAAAAAGTTTACCGTGGTCAATAAGACAATGTTCTCCTTTTCACCTTTAAAAATGTCAGTCATACTTTAGTTATCTTATTCTCACTATTAATGACTTTTGCCTTAATTAACTCCTAATTACTGCTTATTAATAGTTAGTAAGGTAGTATGTTTAGGATTTGAATATGATCATGCAGAATGAGACATTATTAGTATGTGCTTTATAAATACTAATAAACAGTCAACATCCTAGTAATGTGCATGAGAATAAACAGCTAGTGAGAATTGTACCCTAAATTAAAGTGTTATACAAGTGTCTTATGACGAATCAGTAACTTAGAATTTGAAATAATGTGTCTGGGGTATTTGGTGGGTGGTATTAAAAAATGGTGGGTTGTTTAACCCAATTTTGGGTCAAATATGGACAAACCCAAATGTTGGGTTAAAAATGTAATGTAAAAATTTAACCCAACGTCTGGGTTTGTTCATGTTTGACCCAAAGTTGGATTAAAACAACCCAGCATTTTTTAGAGTTTGAGTATGTGTCTTTGTGTTTGCGGATGTTAATTAGCAATGTTGCTCGTTTACATTTTGTATTTTATACTAAAGTTCATTAACATGCATTGGCCCTATCAAATAAATACACAAATGCAAAATAATATCATCTGAATTAGTAAAACCACCTATTTGGAAACACATGCCAACAACTGCAGAATTACAGGAAACAACCTCCTCGTTTACCACAATATATTAATGAAGTTCTGCAACCACATTAGAGCCATGCATTTACGAGAAGAAGAAGTCTTTTCTAGTACTAGGTCCGACCTTTAAAATCAATTGTAATTTCTTTTAATGAAAGATATCTTGTGTTTTTTCCTTTCTTCATTTTGCATTATTTTCATGTTCACAATGTGACGCCCTGTCTGACCTCTGAACTCTTTATCAGCTGCATCTAACCATCAGTGGATGGATGAACTTTAAACAAAAAAAACTCTGACCATTCATACTAAAAACGAAACTTCCATTTGGATAATCGACATTTATGAATAAAGAATTTGCCGTTCAGGATCCCTTTATCTTCATGAACATAATAACAAATAATTGCTTAACACATTCAAACCGGATCCGATTATCTCTGTTTGCCCTGTAACGTCTGCCATAAAGTTTAAACACAAATATACTCGTGTGTGTGTGTGTGTGTGTGTGTGTGTGTGTTTTATACGAGGGCTGACACGGGAGGTTCCCTCACGACACTGTGACACAGTTCAAACACACACACACACACACAAATGCGCAGGTGTGTGAACAGGAAGCAGAGATGCAGTGAGTGACAGTACTCTGATACCTGAGGCAGAACACGAGAAAACAAGTCCAAACTCGAGTCAGATCCAACGATCATTTCATTCCGACGAGCCTTCAATCGGCGCAGTCGAGTCCTTTCAGCCACACGCTAAGTTACAGTCATCAACAATCTCACAGATTGAGGTTTAAAGGGGGTTTACGGACGAATATGACATAGAAGAACGATTTTGAGAACCTTTTCGCACTAATAAAGAACCTTCTGTGGAACGGAATTTAAGGTTCTTTACGGAACGTTCGGTTTGTTGTGAGTGTCATTAGCGGTGGCGTCGCTGACTCGGATAATCGCATTCGCGTTTATCAGTGCACTGCACATTATTGTAACTTTTACAGAAAGATCCATGTCAAAATTATATTATGACTCACGGAAACCAACAAACATAAAAAGTGTGAAACCCTCATCAACCACTGAAGGTCTGACTCTGAGGGAGGAGAGAGAGAGAGAGAGAGAGGGAGAGAGAGATAGTCTCAGTAACGTGCAGCTCATCTGTAGTTTCATGTTGAGTCGTGTTTCTTTCTGCACTGAAGTTCTTCATACCACTGAAGCTTCACGTTCACACATCTAGAAACGGTAAGCGATTTCTTGCCTTTGTGACAAATAATACTAAGTACTATGAATAATGAGGGTCAGGAACTCCGTGAGAGAAGATGAATGAGTGCAATATGTGTGTGAGAGCGTGAGAAAGTTTCTGTCTGGAATTATTCAATCCAGTTTGTGTATTATTTTACTGTTTTATTTGACAGGAGAAATACAGTATACGATCAATATGATCAGTCTCTATGTGTCTTTGCTTTTACTAAAAACATCTGACATCCATGTAAAATTTAAAACAAGGTAACTCAATGTACAGAAAATGTAATATAAGCAAAGGAAATAAACAATTGCAGCAGATTTAGAAAGATTTACATGGAAAGTGAAAAATTAAAAATAAGTTATACATTTGATAACATTTGTTAACATCAACTAAAATGACTTTTAAAGGATATATTTATCTGGGATCAGGCTATTTTCAACATTTAATAATATTTTGCTAAAAGTTTATATTATTTAATGGACCTGAGCTGACATATGAACAGCTGAATTTTTATTAACATTTAAGATTAATAAATAACATAACAAATGTCATGCTCGTATTGATGTTAACTATTAAAAACTGGTAACACTTTATTTCAGTGGTCCACTTTAGACATAAGTAACTCTGCAACTATATGTCAACTTATAACCCGAACCATATCATGTATCAAAGTAACTTATAATGCCACTTTAAAAAAAAAAAAAGATTATCAATAAATTATGACGACATATGTTTTTAAATTGCTCATCAAACTCATCAAAATAAGATATGCAATTTTCAACTTTTTTATAAGATTAAACTTACTTTTTTTTAAAGTCAGTTTGATGTCATTTAAGTTGAAATGACTTAAAAATGCAAGTTGATTGTACTTTTTATTTAAAAAAAAATGAAGGCAGGACTTTTTTTACAGTGTAAAGTGGACCATCAAACAAAGTGTAACTCATTAACATTATTGTAAAATGTTACTGAATCAAATCTGCATATTTCAATGGACTGATTATCTTTAATTTGACGCGTCCTGATGGGCATCATTATACAAATGTAAATCAACAGACCTTGTCATTTTAATGAACATACGATAAGTTGAGTTGCCAAACAAGCATCAATCTTTCACATACGCATCTCTAAAGTAACATGATACAGGTAAACGCTAACATGTGTTCCTCGGCTCCACATTACTCACACACACACTCCTGAGACTGAACAACTATAACAAACTAAAGATTTAGGGTCATTGAAATGAATCACGAATGAATCTAATCTCTATTAAATATTTAGTAGCTTTTGACCGAATGGGAAGTTACTAAGATATTAACCCTAGTTTCACAGACAAGGCTTAAGCCAGTTAAAGCAGACTAAAATGCATGTTTGTATGGGGTGTGTTTTTATTTATTTATTGAGATGTAACAAATTATGGCAGCATATTACATATTACAGCAATATTATAATTTAAAATAGTTTAGATCTCTTTTACATAGTATTCATAATAAAAATAATAACAAAAGAAAAACAAACACAGGTCAATTCAGCTTTACATTAAGTGTTGGAAATAGTCATAAGCAAATCGTGATATAAAAAGGGGTTATTTAGGAAAAACAATAAATGATTAAGGGTTTAGTAGCAAGAAATGTTGAGTCTCGAATATGTCGAATATCTCCTCCGTGTTTGAGCTGTTTTAACTGGAAGCAGCATCAGTTTTGTCTCAAGATGCACACCAGTAATGTTGTTTTCTAAGGCACTTTAAATGATCTAATTAAACTAAGGCCTAATCCTGGCTTAATTTAATCCCTATCTGTGGAACTTGAAGGAGTAGGGTAGTTTACTTAAAAAAACTTTTGCTGATAATTTACTCACCCCCATATCATCCAAGATGTCCATGCCTTTATTTCTTCAGTCGAAAAGAAATGAAGGTTTTTAATGAAAACATTCCAGGATTTTTCTCCATATAATGGACTTCAATGGGAACCAAACAGTTCAAGGTCCAAAAGACAGTTTCAGTGCAAACTGTTCAAAGGGCTTAAAACGATTCCATACGATGTATAAGGGTCTTATCAAGCGAAACGATCGGCCATTAAAAAAATAAATAAAAAAGTTTAAGTTTTATAAGCACAAATGCTCTGTTCTGTGATGAGCGTTCGTGACTCTCCTGTTCGAACTCGTTCATCAAAATGAATGAATCCTAGATAAGACCCTTATTCATCGTCTGGAATCGTTTAAAGCCCTTTGAACAGTTTGCACTGAAACTCTCATTTTGGACCTTGAACCGTTTGGTCCCCATTGAAGTCCATTATATGGAGAAAATCCTGAAATGTTTTCATCAAAAACCTTAATTTCTTTTCGACTGAAGAAAGAAAGACATGGACATCTTGGATGACATGGGGGTGAGTAAATTATCAGCAAAAGTTTTTTTAAAAGTGAACTACTCCTCTAAAGTTTGGATGACAAAACAAAAAAGAAAGTGAGATGATGGTGCCATTGCAGTGTTTGGTTTGTTTCAAGCTAATGATGTTTAATGCTCTTCAGGACTACAGTGATGGACGATCTGATCACCTGCACCCCCTACTGGCCACTCCGTGTTCAACAGCACAGCCCGCCTGAGTAAAACTCGACTCGCGTTACGTGTTTTGACCCTGCAATGATGAAAGTGATGAGCTGAGGAAGACTAGCATCTAGAAGACGTGACCCATGGATGTGTCATCCAGCGCAGGGACGTCCAACTCGTCCTCATTCGCTTTCGTCAGCGCCTACCACAGCTACCAGAGCAACGAAGTCCTCCGGCGCCACTATAACCACTCGGGAAAACTAAACAACAAAGATAGATTTAAACCGGACGCCATCGTCTTCCTCTTCATCTGCCTCCTCATCATAGTGGAGAATATCATCGTCCTCATGGCCATCTGGAAGAACAAGAAGTTCCAGATGCCCATGTATTATCTGCTGGGGAACCTGACGCTCTCAGACCTGCTAGCCGGATTCACTTACATGCTAAATATCCTGCTGTCGGGGCCGAACACGCTGAGTCTGACGCCACTGCTCTGGTTTATAAGAGAAGGCCTTGTGTTTATCACGCTAACGGCGTCTATCATTAGCTTGCTAGCTATCGCCATCGAGCGCTACTTCACCATGCTAAACACGAAGCCTTATTACCGCGCAAAGCGCAACCGCATGTTCGTTCTGATCGCGGTTAGCTGGGCGCTGTCGGTGTTGCTAGGCACCCTTCCCATTATGGGATGGAACTGTTTGGATGACCTGGACTCGTGCTCAACCGTGCTTCCGCTCTACGCTAAAAACTACATCTTCTTCAGTGTGTTTGTGTTCATGGCCGTCCTTCTGGCCATCGTCGCCCTGTACGCACGGATCTTTCACTTCGTAAAGTCCAACACGCAGAACCCGAGCGACGTGCCGCGCAAAGCCTACGGGCTTCGCTCGCGGAAATACATGGCGCTGCTAAAGACGGTCACCATTGTAGTGGGAGTGTTTATTATGTGCTGGATGCCTCTGTTCGTGCTTCTGCTCCTGGACTTCGTGTGTCCCGCGAAAGAGTGTCCGGTGCTACTCAAAGCTGAATACTTCTTGGGCGTGGCCATGATTAACTCCTTCATTAACCCGATTATCTACACGATGACTAGCAGAGACATACGCCGGGCCATCCTGAAGCTGCTCTTCAAACGCTGTCTGACCACCAAAGACGGGACATTGAGGAATATCGGCATTAAGATCAGCTTCACTAAGACTGACGCGCACCGTCACGGGCAGGAGACGACCGTTTCATCGGGAAATGCCACAACCGTAAACGTCAAAACCATCTACCCGAAGCTCAAGTTATCCGTCGTCGCGTAACGCCGTGTCCTGAGCCGAAAGACATCTTTTCCATGCTAATCAGAGTTTTCCTAATCAGCCACAATGACGACACGTGACTATTCTAGTTTAGAAGTGGCGATTTTGTGGCTGGAAAAACAAGACAATGATGATCTCAGGTAGTAATTATATGCTTCATTTAATGTTAAAAGCATCTAATGCGAGTTTGAATATCGTTTTGATTGACCTTTATAGCCCTGTTGAGAGCGACAACGGATAACTCACCTCTGATCTTGAAAATGAAAGGAACGAACTGAACTCAATGTGAACGAATAAGAGTATTCTATGGCAAAGATTATTTGTCACTCAGTATGTATTTTTATTAATGTTAAAATTGTGTAATATTTATGAATTTGATGTACTTATGCATTTCGCATTTGCAGAGACTCCGCCCACACTCTCCTCTGATTGACTGTGATGTTGAATTTATTTGGTTTGCGAGTACAGTGCATCTGCAGAGACTCCGCCCACACTCTCTTCTGATTGGCTGTTGATTTGGTTGCGAGTACAGTGCATTTGCAGAGACTCCACCCACACTCTTCTAATTGGCTGTTGATTTGGTTGCGAGTACAGTGCATTTGCAGAGACTCCACCCACACTCTTCTAATTGGCTATTGATTTGGTTGCGAGTACAGTGCATTTGCAGAGACTCCGCCCACACTCTCTTCTAATTGGCTGTTGATTTGGTTGCGAGTATAGTGCATTTGCAGAGACTCCGCTCACACTCTCTTCTAATTGGCTGTTGATTTGGTTGCGAGTATAGTGCATTTGCAGAGACTCCGCCCACACTCTCTTCTAATTGGCTGTTGATTTGGTTGCGAGTATAGTGCATTTGCAGAGACTCCGCCCACACTCTCTTCTAATTGGCTGTTGATTTGGTTGCAAGTACAGTGCATTTGCTGTGACTCCGCCCACACTCTCTTCTGATTGGCTGTTGATTTGGTTGCGAGTACAGTGCATTTGCAGAGACTCCGCCCACACTCTCTTCTAATTGGCTGTTGATTTGATTGCAAATATAGTGCATTTGTAGAGACTCCGCCCACACTCTCTTCTGATTGGATGTTGATTTGGTTCCGAGTACAGTGCATTTGCAGAGACTCCGCCCACACTCTCTTCTAATTGGCTGTTGATTTGGCTGCGAGTACAGTGCATTTGCAGAGACTCCACCCACACTCTCTTCTGATTGGCTGTTGATTTGGTTGCGAGTACAGTGCATTTGCAGAGACTCCGCCCACACTCTCTTCTGATTGGCTGGAATCTTGTCACTCCTTGTCTTGTTAGGACAGTGTAAAAAGTGTTCTTGGCCATGACATCTTCAGTGCTAAAAGAACTATGAGGACTATGTTACAAACCCAAGCACATTCAGGCTCTGGATTGAATCATGACGAACTAAACCGAATTAAAGACATGTAATAAATCACAGCCACAAACCACAGCTGGAAAGAAACTGAGCATTTCAAACACAACAATCGGACTTTGGCAATATTCCCCTTTTCTTGCATTATGTAAATGAAGTTGTGGGCTGAAAGAGGTCTCTCTCAGGTGTTTTCCAGCATTTCAACATTGGACCACACGGCCTTTGACATTTGCAGTCACGATTACAAAAATATGCTGACATACTTCAAAAAATATATGAGAGTTTAGAAATAAATATAAAAGCCTTTATTTAATCATGGCCATGGCTCTTTTATATTCTTTCTAAACTCTCGAGTGCCTTGGCTCACATCCAAAGAGCACCGAGACTTCATAGCCCAGCAGCAATCTTTGCGTTTTGTGTTTATGACAGACATATCTATCAGTTCATCGAGCTGTATCACGAGATCTGCAGTGCATGCGAAGACTTCACATGTTTTCTGCAGACTGCGCTCCACAGCGAATGGCCTGTTGTGATATAAAACCACATACTGTAGATTCTGATAATGTAAAATATACAAACACGAGGAAACTCACTGTAAATATTCCACTTCAACACAAATGCTCTTATTTAATGTTGAACTGTAAGCATCTCTTAACACAAAAGCATTTAAGATTTTTTTGTACATATTATTTTGCACAGTATTATGTTTTTTAAGCTTTTTTTTACCAAGTAAATTTTTTTCTTATTTTACATTAAATATTTTTTTAAATAAACAATGTAGCGTGTTCACATACTGTTCACAGATTATGAAGTTTGACGGTCACATTAAAGAGAGAAATCATGTGTGTGTGTATAAACAAGGTGAGGTTGCCAATCATATACGTCATTACCCTGAACACACATCTGTTCTTTCAGATCAACACTTTCTTTCTAAACAGTCACAGCTATCAGGTTCAGTGGGGATATAAAACTCTAAGGTACTTCACTTAAAAAAAAAAATGTTGCTGATAATTTACTCACCCCCATGTCATCCAAGATGTCCATGTCTTTCTTTCTTCAGTCGAAAAGAAATGAAGGTTTTTGATGAAAACATTCCAGGATTTTCTCCATATAATGGACTTCAATGGGGTCCAAACGGTTCAATTTCCAAATGAGAGTTTCAGTGCAAACTGTTCAAAGGGCTTTAAACGACTCCAGACGATGAATAAGGGTTTTATCAAGCGAAACGATCGCTCATTTCAAAAATACATACAAAAGTTTAAGTTTTATAAGCACAAATGCTCGCCTCGCTCTGTTCTGAGACCTTTTCAATGTAATTGCGTATTACGTGAAGTCACGAACGCGCATAACAGAACAGACATTTATAGATTATCGTGACAGAATATGTTAATCAAAGATAGTTAACTTCACATCAGCTACATAAATGCATCAACTAAGCATCCTGTTGCTAAGTTGTCACTTCTTGAGTCTCTCCATCTTTGTGCGGTTTGACTTTGAACATAAAATCCTAAAGTTTTAGAGTTTTTTACTGTTTGTGAGGTAATCAGAGCTGCTACCACACACGAGCTCTTGAAGCTCCGCCCCCTGTGCCGAGAGCAGCAGCTCATTTGCATTTAAAAGGACAGATGCAAACACGGATTTCGAGTTAAAACTTCACACACACTCTGGGGAGATCAGAGACTTATTTTACATCGTGTGAAAAGGGAAATATACCACCCCTTTTAAGGTTCTATGCAAAATTTAAAAACCCTGATGGCCGTCAAGTGAACTAGAAAGCAATTTGTTGCCCGTGCTCACAGACTGAGACTGAGACTGAACGTGACTCATGGCGAAGCTCTTTATCATTCTTTGCTTGGAAGTAAAAAAGAAGTTAGTATACATTATACCTGCAATATACTGTTAACGAACATCCCCACGGCGTCCACGGCTGAAAGGGGCGGATAGATGAATATGTAAATTTGTGCCTTACACTTTCCTCTCAATAACAAAATGTCAGTGGTGAGAAACAGCAGTTCAGAAATCATCTGATCATAGAGAGATGTGGATGTTTGCTGCAGATCTGAGATTATCACTGTTATGATAGTTTGATTATAAAGTAAGCTATATTTAAAACTATATAGATCTGACTTTGTGAGACTAATAAATCACATTCTCTGCATGACACCTGCATCGCTCATTATGCATCATCCTGAACATTGTATCATTTATTCATTTCATGTGTCAAGAGAAGCTCTCCCGTAACCGTCACATCACTTAGATTTTCCCGGGAAAAACATCCCGAGTCCTTCACAAAAAAAAAAAAAAAAAAAAAAAAAAAATCGGTCTACTCTACGCGGCTATTAAAGACAACAATCTAGTTTTTTTTAAGTTTCGTGACCAGCTGTTAACATTAGCCCCTTTCACACAGTAATTCCGTTTAATTAACGTAAAATTTGCTATGACTTTATACACAAATATGCCGTTCACACAAGCAGCGCCGATCTGGCTTTTTCCCGGTAAAAGACGTTCACATCAGCACCAAAACACTAGTAAACTCTGTAATGTCAGTCATCGGCAGTGATCTTTAACACACATGTTGCGGCATCATATCAGTAATTTACTAGTGATGCTACAACTTCACTTACTAATAATGTTTGAAAAGTTCACAGATCGCTATCGCATATTTACCAGTATGTGTGAAAGAGGCTATTGGCTATAAAAAAGCATATCAAACTTCTTACATGGACACCCTGTAAATAATTATGGGTAATAATTATGTTAATAATTAGCCTATAATAATTCACTAATAATTATAATAATAATTCATATATACTTATAAGTTATAACTAAAAAGCCTAGGCTATATATTAATTATCCATTAAAGGCTGTAGAGTGGAGCGCCTGACAACACTTCCCTTTCCTTGAGTCAGTAAAACTCATACAGTGGTAATTCTGCATTAAATGACTCTTGATAACCTTCAGAGATGTAGGCTAATCTGATTGAGCTGTTTCTGTTCGGCTCTGTTCTGTGTTAGAGCTGATTGAGCGATTCACAGTGAAGATGCTTTAGTCACGTAAATTACATGCTTTAAATTACACAATATATCATCCATCCAACAGCTTTCGTATGGATTAACACGTTTATCGAGTCCAGCGCTCTTCCGTCCTGTCAGCATGTGAGATGTTAAACCGCACTGGATGACACACACACACACACACACACACACACACACAGAAGCTGGTGATGCATGTCGGCTTGCTGTGGGTTCAGATCTGTAGGAGTTTGCAGAGGGGCTGGTATATTTGCACAGTAACATGGAAACACAACTGAGCTCAGTTTTGCCCTCTTTACCGTAAACACAAACACACACACACACACACACGCGCGCGCGTGCGCGCGCTTCAGAGCCATACTCACTAAAACCACAAGCCTTGAGCTCCTCTTACAAAGCCATATAGCCCACGACATGGGTATCAAGTATGCACACACACATACACATGCAAACAAGCACACTTAAACCAACTGAAACTAATACATATTATATTTTTAGATATGAAACTATGGCCATGGGTCAAAAGCCCTTCGTCGTTGAAACTTAAAACCTTTCTACACTCTTCCCTCAGTTCTGCTGAAATCTCAGACACGCAGCAGGGCATTTCACACACAAACACACTAAAACTATCAAAACACTTCATTTACGTCTCAAATCAACTCATTCTTCCTGAACACCAGCAGAGGTTTCACACTAACACACTTTATCACTCATAAAACACAGACCAACACACACATCAGGAGCCTACTTTAGCAAAACTTCTTTACAAAACGAGAATGACTGTCTAATCTGCGTATAATTCACTGCAGTGTGTCACACGTCTACAGTACAACATTATTCCTACATTTTCCTCTTCTGCACGGATGAGATGAAACTGAAAGACTGACACTTGATGTTCAGCTTCATCTCATCACTTTCACAGTATTTGATGTTTATTTTTATCCATAGTTCAATATGATACCATATTGTGTTTTGTTAAATTGTAAACATAAGTGTAACCGTTTTGAAATGAGAATGCAAACATGTGCAAACTGTTCTTGTCATTCATTGCTGGTCGTGTTTGTGTTTAAGTGAGAAATTATTTAATGTAATTTGAAAGATGTCATTAAATGCATTTTGTGCCAAAGAAATAATAAATGATCCTCAGTTTATCCCACATGGACAGATGCTGATCACCGAGTGAAGAGTGTGGAAAAGTGACTTACCTATTGAAAAATGTGTTCAAGCGATTGTAAAAATTTAAAAAAGCTGTTTTTATTTTCATGTTTTCATCTGGCTATATAAATCTGCAGTCTCAGAGTTTCTTGAATAAAAGACTAAAGCACAGAGGATGTTTATAACATGCTGAATATAACACACATATATAACAACACTGTAACACATAGTTGATAAAGAATCATTTGCCTGGTTTTACAGACCAGGCTTAAGTACAGACTAAATGTTTGAGATGAAAGTATATTATCTTAAAATATCAGTAGCTTTTTTGGAAGGCACGTTTATAAAAGCTACTTAAATGTCCTAATTAATATAATCACTGTCTGTCTGTGAAATCAGGCCTGTTTATATACAACAGAAAAGTCTTGATTGCAATCATCACACAGTCGAGCTGCGCGCGCAGTTTTTGTTGACGTGTAGCGACATCTAGTGCTCGCGCTCCGATATCTATGCTCGCGCTGTGAACTGCGTAATCACGCACGACAACCTGATGAACCCATGTGATGAACCTGATGCCTTTGCACGATGAATTGCATTGCACAATAACAATGATGATTACGATGATGATTGTGTGATGTTTCAAAATCAAGAGCAGACAACGCATTTTAGCTGCCTTTATCTAGGTCTAAAATATCATTTTATTTAATACAGGTAAGATTTTCAAAATTCTAATAATTTCATAATTGTCACATAATTCTTACATATAAATCATTATTATCTTGGGCAGAAGATCATGTATAGTAAATATGATTGATCACACGATTGATTGGCGTCCGTTTGCGCGTGAACGGGGGTTCAGGAGCGCGCGTTCCTCAGCTGTGCTTAGTCACGCTGAGTTTCCCTTTCTGAGAGTACGGAACACACACACACACACACACGCGCTGAAGTACAAAATAACACACTGTAACACACACACACTGTCACCGAGAGCCGTTTCCGATGAGCTGTGAGTGTTTTAAGGACAGACTTTGTTTACTGTGTTTGGTTTTCTGCTGAGATTTGTACTGTTTTTATTTTATTCCATGTCGATGTTAACAGCATTAACGCTCCTATTGCGTGTTTATTTATTTAATTTACTGATTGACAGTATTTATGATTATGGTGATTATAGCTTGTTTCGTAATATATGAGGATAAAATCATTATGAAGTTTAATAATCTTGAGAGATAAGGCGTTCGCAGTGTGATGTTATAAAGCTTGAGCTAATAATAACATTTACCGTTACAGTACAATAGTTTATCGCCGAATATTTATCAAACTAGTGTTTTGATTGATAATTTAAGCATACAAGACATTTTGCTCAGAATGGTTCAAGCATCCACAGAGCGTCTAATGTTTAAGTACATTTCAGAGATTTGAATTAATTTCTCGAGTCGAGTCTCGGCGCTTCTGCTGTGTGTGACCGGGCTTGAGCTGCTGGAGGGCGGATAGAATTTAAAATCCAGCCCGGGGATTTCGGGCCCATCACTGTTTACATGTTGACATTTCAAACTTAAAGTGGCGCTTTGCGATTTTTATTTTTACTAAAAAGTATGTAAGATAGCTTTTCAGTAAAATATGATTTTAGGTTCACCTTTATAAAACTGGAATATTAAATGATTATATTAGAATTATTAAATTAAATACGTGTTAAATGATTAAACACTTTTTCACTGTAAACACTCACTGAATAACTATAAACATTTGTTTAATCTGTCCTGATTTCTTAAACCTTCACTGCTGTTTGGTAAAGTTTCCCATTCATGCACCAGATCTGTTCTGCAGTGCCATCACACACACATTTCTTTAACTATCTGTGAGGACATTCATTATATAATGCAGTCCTACTAAACCAAATCTTATCTAAGTCTTGATTGTTTGAGTCTCTTCTGATGGGTCACTGACAGCAGACACAAACCGTGTTGATATTTAAATAGTGTAATTAATTGTGCGTCTGTAATACAGCAATATGAATAGATTTGTTAACTTTTTACCGGGAGAAGAAACCCCTCTCTACTTCTCTAGTTGTTCAAATCAGAAGTTGTACATCCAATAAAACTGCGGCGGGTTGGATCAAATTAGATGGATGTCAAAATGCACAGGTTGTGAAATCTTCTTTTTAATGTTATGTTTAACGTTAACAAAATATTAATCAGTAATTATTGTTTGTTTTAAGGACACATTCTCCTCAGTGAGATTGTTCTTTTGTTCCTCAATATGTTGAGTTGAGTTTGATTTACTGCTATAGTTGTCATTATGATTGTGCTGTGTTTCTTATGTTTTTTCTTCATCTCAGGACTCCCAGTCATCAGTGAAAACACCATAAAACTCCTGAAATGACACGCGTGTGACAGTTTTCCCAGGACTCATTCTGTCACAAAGTCTGCAAGATCCTTCAGTCAAAGAACGTCCGGCGTTCAGTTTTCGACTCGTTTCTCTTCACCTTGTACCCGAACCTGCACAGAAAACCAGTTTCACTTCACATCCAATAAAAAGGTCTCCTTTGGCTTGAGGAAGAGACACTACTATGTGAGCAACAAACCGGTTGAATTCTTCTTGTGCTTTTCCTGCTTCACAAATTCCCCCAGTCGAATCAAACAGATTGCGTATGAAATGGAGAAGTGTCACAGACCCAAACCATCAGGAGATTATAGGCCTGTATAACAGCACGTTTCACCTGAGCGACCCGTAAGAGCGTGTAAAACTCATCCGTCTGCCGTCTGCCGCCGCTGAACCTGCGCTGGCGAGCGAGGATGCTAGTGCCGGGCCGCGGCCGGTGACGATGTACGCGGCGTCCGGGATGACGGAGTGCAAGGCGGAGGTCACGCCGTCGGAGCGAAACGGCCACCGTGTGTTTAGCTACACGCTGGAGAGCCACACGGCGGCCGCCTTCGCCATCATGAACGAGCTGCGGATGGAGCGCCAGCTGTGCGACGTCACGCTGAGGGTCAAGTACAACGAGCTCCAGGCCGTGGACTTCGTGGCTCATAAGGTGGTGTTGGCGTCATCGTCGCCGGTGTTTCGTGCCATGTTCACCAATGGGCTGAAGGAGTGTGGGATGGAGGTGGTGCCCATCGAGGGGATCCACCCAAAGGTAAGATGTTGCGATCATGAATTGTGTTCTGACATTAAAGGTGCAGTGTGTAAATTTGACCAGCATCTAGTGGTGAGGTTGCGCATTGCAACCAACAGAAATCACAGTGTCCGGAAGTGATGTCGACGTCTGAGACAGCAGAGTAGGCAGTTAACCAATGAGGTTTCTCTACAAAGATAAATTAAGAAATTAGGTTTACTTAATTGTTCGGTAAAACGATATGTTATTGCGAATATTATTGTAACTTGTTCATCATTGTGTCAGTGTTTTATTCGCTGACTTAAGCAGCTTCTTTACACGAAGAACATCATAGTGACGAAACGCGTTTGTCCACTTGTCCGACACAGGTCATGGGCCGGCTCATCGAGTTTGCGTACACGGCGAGCATCTCTGTGGGGGAGAAGTGTGTGATTCACGTGATGAACGGGGCCGTCATGTACCAGATCGACAGCGTGGTGAAGGCCTGCTGTGATTTCCTCGTGACGCAGCTCGACCCGAGCAACGCTATCGGCATCGCCAACTTCGCCGAGCAGATCGGCTGCACAGAGCTTCATCAGAAGGCCAGAGAGTACATCTACATGAACTTCAGTCAGGTCAGTGACCTCTGAGTAAACCTGTGTGATGATGGGGAGGGCACATGTTAAAGGGATAATTCACACAAAAATTAAAACTTCACGTTGTTCAACCCCGTAAGACTTTCGTTCATCTTCAGAACACAAATTAAGATATTTGTGATTAAATCACTCCTCCATAGGCTTCTATTGTAATTGAAACTTGCCGGACCAGAAAGTTATTAAAGACATCGTTAAAATAGTCAGAGTGACAACAGCGGCTCAACCTTAAGATTATCAAGCAATGCGAATACTTTCTGTGCGAAACCCCCCCAAATATAACGACTTTATTCAACTATTCATTTCCTTTTGTGTTGTATGTCCGAACGCAGGCTCACTATTGGCCGACGCTGGTCATGTGTGTGATGCTGGCCAATAGTGAGCCTGCGTTCTGACGTACAACAAAGAAGCGCTGTGCTGTTACACTACGTGAACTCACTCGAGGCCCACACAGTAGAAAATGCATATATGCATGTATATATTTAAGAAAAATGTGTTATTTATATATATATAAAATATTTATATATAGTATAAATTCCTGTAGTATATACATGCAAATATTTCTTAAATATTTTTATTTTGGATGTGATTAATTGCGGTTAATCGTTGCCCAGCACTAAAAAAAAAAAATCATTCTGAAACCTACGACTCGTTTCTTTCTTCTTTTTTTAAAAAACTATATCTTAATTATATTTATCCTCCTTGGTGTGAATGTGCTTTACAGGCATTTGATACTGGATGAGATTAAACGTGCCTCTCTCTCTCGCTCTCTCAGGTGGCGACGCAGGAGGAGTTCTTCAACCTCACTCACTGTCAGCTAGTGACGCTAATCAGCCGCGACGAGCTGAACGTGCGCTGCGAGTCCGAGGTGTTTCACGCGTGCGTGGAGTGGGTTCAGTACGACCGCGAGAACCGGCGTCCCTACGTTCAGGCGCTTCTCCAGGCCGTCCGCTGCCACTCGCTCACGCCGAACTTCCTGCGCCGGCAGCTCGAGCACTTCGAGTGGGACGCGCAGAGCAAAGACTACCTGTCCCAGATCTTCCAGGATCTCACGCTGCACAAACCCACCAAACTCATTCCCTGTCGGACTCCCAAAGTCCCGCAGCTCATCTACACGGCGGGCGGATACTTCCGGCAGTCACTCAGCTACCTGGAGGCGTTTAACACCTGTACGGGCGCGTGGCTGCGGCTAGCGGACCTGCAGACGCCGCGCAGTGGGCTAGCGGCGTGTGTTATTAGCGGTCTCCTGTACGCGGTGGGCGGGAGGAATAACGCTCCGGATGGAAACATGGACTCAAACACGCTGGACTGCTACAACCCGATGAATAACTGCTGGCTGCCGTGCGCGCCCATGAGCGTCCCGCGCAACCGTATCGGTGTCGGCGTGATCGACGGGGATGATCTACGCGGTGGGCGGCTCGCACGGATGCCTACATCACAACAGCGTGGAGAGGTGAGATGTTTTTGATGTGTTTAATCTTTTATCTCTTCCACACTAAACAAATCTCTTTGGCTGTAACGAGACCCTCGTGTCACGACTCAATACATATCACGAAACTGAACTCACGATACCATATTATTGCGATACTCCAAGAAATATCAAAATATTGGGCTGTCAAAATGTCTAAATTCCAAAATTCGAATTTATTTCTTAAATATTAGCAAAATTCTAATAAAATCGCGAATTCTGAAGGCAATAGGGGAATAGTACTGTAATGTCCACAAGAGGGCGCAACAAGCAAATATCAAACCTAATTAAACATCGCATCTTTTTATTGAAATGACATTCACTTTTTTTAAAGTGCATTAACTTTTGAAACAATTGTTAAATAATTTCCTTAATGTGCATGCGCAGGAATATTAGATTACAGTAGTGCATAAAACCGTGTAACCTGAAGAAAACACACTTACACACAGCGTAATGTAACGTTACTACATGAATACACACAATAGCAAACTGCAATTCAGAAACAATCCACTTACATCTACATATTGTGTATCCAAAACACGACACTCAGCTTGATCTTGATCTAACTGAACATAAACACA